GTTTGACGACGAATTTCTCCACCTCTCACAAACCATCTTTCTTCTTTCTGTGGCCAGAAAAATCTGAAACCCTCTGTTTATACTGAGCCTGTTGCTATGCAAATCATTAAAACACATTACAAAAATCTTTCCTTTGAGTCAGGAGGAGAACATAATGGGGAGAGAGGAATCGCGAGCAAGAGTCCCTTCACTGAACAGCAGAGCTGGTGGAAAGGAATAGGGGGAGCAAAGTGGAAAAAATTACGGTGGTCGTGGTCCCATCCCTTGAGTCATTTTAACCAAAGTGGGAAAACTAACATTTTTAAAGCCCCAAGGTAATGTATCTTAGACTTTGGAGTGGGGCTAACAAACCCTGGTCTTAATCTCTTTAATTCCTATGGTTTCATGACTCATCTTCCATCTGTCTACTAGTGTCCTTTGTATCAGCTTTTTTGCACTTCTGTAAGAATACCGAGATTTTTTTCCTTCCGTGTGTATGCCTATGTGAATTCTTCTTTTGATATCTTTTGCCTTCTTGTTCAAGTATCACCTAAATGTAGGGCTTGAATTGTCCATTTCTTCTCCAACTCAATCATAGTACCTCGGCAGGTTTCCTTCTCTTATGAAGACATTTGTTCTCCAAAAATCATATCCAGATGAGACGAGACACAGTATGTCAAAATTAATGTCAAAAAAAAAAAAAAAAAAAAAAAAAAAAAAAAAAAAAAAAAAAGAGCTTCTCAGTTTTCTACTTAAAAAAATATGGACTTGATCATTTGAAGAAAGTAAATCACCTTCTTGAACAGTGTGCAATCAACATCATTCTCAAATTTTTATTGTGCTGTTCCCAGGACTCTATTAACCTGCAAGTTTTCAAGGGTGGAACTGTCTGGGGACAAGATATGAAGCACAAACTTTTAAATACATCCTCCTTCCACTGCTATGTATCTTGAGATATGTGCGTTCACAAACACCCCATCCCCCCAAACAACCAGAGTGCTAATTCTAAATTCTTTTTCCTTATTCAGAAAGAAGACATGGCTGGGCCCTACTAATGCTATAGAACCTTTTTTCTTCACAAATAGAAGTAGCCAAACCTTTGCCAACATGTGTTGGGTGAAAACGAGTTTGGTTGGCTCCAGACAAAGGCTTACTTTTTAAGCACAGATGGCTGAATGGTTGCCTCCTCCGAGGGCTTGCCCACAGTGAAAGACGGATTCCTATTTCTAATCTATGCAAATATCTTACTCTGCGGGGCATCACAAAGACTAACTGTTTTGTGTCAGACACTGCAGATCCCAGGTGCAGCACATCTCCACCTCAGACGCCTGGTAACACGGGCAACAGCAAATGGCTTAAGAGTTAGTCACTAACCCGCTCCTAATGAATGTTGTTGGGGCCTTCTGTGAAACATTCCTCTGGAATCCTGCCCTATCACCGCTGCTTCTCCTTGGCTGCTCTGCCTGGAAGACAGTTTCAGTATTCAGTTTGGACCCTGATGCTTCTAAAACCTCCCAAGAAGGCTCAGATCCCCACAGGCTCCTAAGGAGCCCTGGTAGCGCTCTTCACCTTGAGTTCAGCTCATTTATTTGTGTCCAACATCAAACCCAGGAACCTTGCTCATTTTAAAATGTCGTTCTGTCCAAACGAGGGCTCCTTTGCACTCCAGTCTATATGCTTACAACCCATGGTACAGCTCACGAATCACACCTGGGTCACTTCCCAAGTATATGTCATTCTCTCTCCTCCTTCTCCATCAATTCTCCTTTCTTTACTTACACCACCTCTCTCGCTTATTTTCTCATCTCCCCAACTAAAGTCTTTCACTTGCTCTGATGTCCCTTGGCACATTCCAGTTTTAGGGTTCCTTGGAGCAACAAAAATTTCTGTAATGCTGGAAAAAAAACCCACAAAACCAAAAACCCCCAACTCCTCATGCTAACCTAGCTCCTAACTTTAAACGTTCTTTGCCATAAAGAGAAGGTCATACCTAACATATATACAGTTTAGTTCCATGTTTAAGCCTAAAAAATGTCCTTCAACATTTTGTTTTCTTTGCTAGTTTTTCTGATCGAATGACAATAACAGAGTTTGCTTCAAAAACCTCGGCTGGAAAAGATTTCATTCTCTCCTTATCAAAGTTCATCTTAAATGAACCAAGCTGACTGAGCAAAAAAGAAATTCTAAAGGAAAAGGAAAGAAGTCCTACCGAATCTCCAGTGTCAATAACCCCTACCATCAAAATTCCTACTTTATAACTCAAATTTTTGAGATTTAAAACACTTTTTGTTTCAGCTTGTAAATGCAAATATTGACAGTCAAATAATCTGGCATTGAGTTTACTTACCTGGAAAATCTAAAACCACAAAGAGCTTTAGAGGTTAACTAATTTGTTAATTACCAAGTCGGGATGAAAATCAGAACCACCCGAAGAATATCATTTATTTTAAACAATATATACTCCTGATCCACAGCCCTAGACATTTCAATTTAGACTTCTGTTACAGCCCTAGAATCACATTTATAATAAATGCTCCAGGTAATTACAATATAGCAAGCCCTGGTCTGTTTGAGAACCATTGATCTAGTCCAACATCCTACCCAATATGGCAGTCTCCTCTCCAAGACACCACCCCATCTACCCACTCAGTGCCACAGCACTTCCATAAACCAGGGCACTCACCCTGTTATAGGTGTGCTTGTGCCACCTTTTTATGGCTTTACTTATTAGAAACTGTGTTCTTATGTTGAGCCAAATAACCAAAGTCTTTCAACTCCTTGCACTTCACTTATTATTGGCCCAAATTTTGCCCTCCAGAGTTAACATAGAATTCCCCTCCACAAGAGAGAGAGAGCAAGAGAGAGGGAGAGAGAGAATCCCAAGCAGGTTCCACACTGTCAGTGCAGAGCCCGACGTGGGGCTCAATCTCACAGACCATGGGATGGTGACCTGAGCCGAAACCAAGACTTGGACACTTAACTGACTGAGCCACTCAGGGGCCCTAAGCCTTCATTTTTCTAAGCTTAAACAACATTTTTTAACTTCATAAAGGACAATTTCTGAGTCCCTTACCTTTTATTTCAATTTCTTCTCCTTAACAACTGACCTTACAGAATAAATCTGTCTAGAGTAACAACACTTCGTTTTTTTCCTACAGACTGAACTTTGCCCAATATGTTTTAATTTATAGTCTGCGTTTCCTCCTTGTTACCCACTGCCTTGCATTTCACAGTCCAAGAGCCATGAATCAGCAAGTACTTATTAACCTAATGCCGTGTTCCCGACACTGTGTAAAGTAGTGAAGGAAGATTCAGAAGCCAGTGGAAACTGTCCCATTTGGAGGAGTTAATAACTTCGTGCACAGAAAAGAAACTACATAAGTGAAAAAAAAAACGGAAAACAGTGCACAACAGTTTCCAACCAAGTGCTTCAAATGAATGATACCTGAAAGATGGAACACAGGTTTTCTGGTCAGGCTGTGAGCTATTTCATGGCCTCTGCTGACAGAAATACCACCTATTTAACAATAGTTTTTATTTTAAAAAGAAAAAAGAAAAAGAAGATGGAAACTATCACCTTAAAATGGACATAAAAATTTTAAGTGCTTCCTATTTTAAAATCTTGGGGCACCTGGGTGGCTGAGTCAGTTAAGCATCCGATTCTCAGTCTTGGCTCAGGTCATGATCTCAGGGTTCGTGGGATCAAGCCCCAAGTTGGGGTCCTTGCTGTCAGCGTGGAGTCTGCTTGGGATTCCCTCTTTCCCTCTCTCTGCCACTCGCCCTTACACACACACACACACACACACTCTCTCTCTCTCTCTCTCATTCTCTCAAATCAACTTAAAAAAATTTTTTTCATAAATAAAATAAAAATTTTAAATCTAAGAAACCACACATGCAATAATCAAATACAATATTCCTACTTTGCAGTGTGTTATTGGTACTGCTTCCTAGTACTCTGAATGCCATGAGCCAAGAAAAACGTGGAAAGTAGAAGCTTGATGTAATTCTCCTTATTACCAGAAAGAACCATTTGATGAGAAGACAACCCCTCCGCATATTTTAATGGAAAACTCTTACCAATAAGTGAACCGTACTAACACCAACCAACACCAACTGCTTCATTCATGGAATCACTGACTATGAGACTTTAGAAACATGCAAACCCCTCACTTTACAGATAAGGGAAAAATACCACTTCACAGATGGCAGGTGGTTTCCTCCAGGCAAGACAGCCAATGAGCAGGAGGGTGGGACCAATCCCAGGTCTCCTCTCTACCGATGGCTCCCTGTCTCCTCCTATTATGACCCAGGACAAGCAAAACTCTCACCCTTCTCAACGTTCTCCTCAACTCTGCTCCCATCATTAGTTATGTGTTTAATCCTCAAATGCAAAGTCTGATGCTACATTTTGCTTGGGAGCATATTAAGGGCAAAAGTAGAACAAAGAAGTATTAGGTGGTTAATCCTTTTTTTTTTATGCTTATTTTTTTTATTTTGAGAGAGAGAGATTGAGTGAGCGAGCAGGGGAGGTGAAGAGAGAGAGGGAGACAGAGAGAACCCCAAGCAGGCTCCATGCCATCAGCACAGAGCCCGATGCGGGGCTCAAACCCACAAACCGTGAGATCACGACCTGAGCCGAAACCAAGAGTCGGATGCTCAACCAACTGAGCCACCCAGGCGCCCCGTAGATGGTTAATTCTTTATTAAATTCTAGCCCATCTACTCTACCCATAGACTCCAACTAATCCTTCTATGCTGCCAGGCACAATGCTCTACTGGCTCAGGATCACTGCTACCTGACTAGCATCATAGGGAACCACTGGGGTTGGCACCACGGATTCAAACAACGATTCTAAAGCTGCCAAGCAACTGGTAAACAATCCCCAACTACTCCACCCTCCCCCCACTACACCCACCTACACCTACACACCCCCCAAATCAGCCAGCTCATCTACTTCATCTGAAGCCTCACAGCTGATCCACGCCCTTATGCACAACACAGAAAAAAATGCACCTACCTTGTGGCCTCCTGCTGAAGCCATGACACATTTGGCACATAGAACATGACTCCGAAGAAAAGCAGAGGCTCGTTAGCAAATTTGTCCAGATGTTTCTTCAGAGGTTTCTCCAGCTCCACCCATCGTGCTTGCTGGCTCTTGCTGAGAAACCAAAGGCCAAAGTAGTGTGTCTAGACGAAAGAGTAAAATAGCATCAGTCTATGTTTATCAGGGGTACCCCCAAGACTGCACAGGAGAGCAAGACTCTGACGCCCTACGCCACATTTGGTTTCCCAGTTCGGACACGAGGATCCAGCATTTACTTTCTGACTTTAGGACAGGCCAAAAGAAACCACATGCACACAATCCACAGGGGCTATCCGATATAGTATCCATAGCCATCGCTGCTGTTGGTACATGTGGGTACTAATGCACCGGTGTTTGGGAAGGGGGTGGGGTGCAGGGGTGGGGACAGGGTTGGCTTTTTTCCTACGCTCTCAAGGCCGACTTTCCTGTGGCTTCTGAATGCCTCGTGATCTCACGTGAAACATGCTGGCAAAGGCAAACACAGTTCTTTGCACCTGCTGCAAAGTAACTTGGTACTCAACTCCTAAGACAAAACCTTCTGCCAAATGAAAGCTTCCACATTGCGGGATATTTCCATACAGTACCAGATTTCAACGGAAAATTGATTCACTCCTTTTGAGTTTTAATGAAGTACTTTCAAAAACATCAGCCTCAACCACTTCATTATGCATGAACTGCAGCAAATCTCTCCCCCATATCAAGCTTTGAGAATGGAAGGATGTCTTCGCAGCTGCCAGGGGAGCCCCTGGTGGCTGTTCTTGGCAGATTATGGTGGATTTGATAGATGAAAGTAAGATTTTCACCCTTACACTTGAAGCCTCAACCAGTTTAGTTTTGAACAACGTGCTAAATGATTAAAACAGGTACTTTTATGCATCCAATCTTGTCTTTGTATTAATTCACACTAGGATTTCAGGATTAGCACAACAATCACCAAAAAACAGATCACCGCTTTTGAAATTTTCTTTTATATTTCAATTATAGCTTAGCACAGTTTACAGCACACCTGGAAATTTGCCTTCAAAAGAACGTTTTCATTTCGATGTTTAATTTCCAAAGGCATTCTTGTGCTGATGTTCCCACTCCAGCTGTCTGTCCCATCAGCGATATCACAGATCAATCCCTGCCACAACCCTACCAAAATCTGTACCAGAAGTCTTGATTCTGACTTCCCTAGAAAACCAGGCATGTCCTTGCCTACTTAAGGCTACAGACCAAAACACTCTCAAGGATATTTTCAAATGCATGTACTTTCAGATGGGAGCAATGATTTCCCCAGCTTTGCTCCATGATGTTTTAAAAACGTTTTTATTTATTTTTGAGAGAGAGAGCACGACCAGGGCAGGGACAGAGAGAGAGGGAGACACAGAATCCGAAGCAGGCTCCAGGCTCTGAGCTGTCAGCACAGAACCCAATATGGGGCTTGAACCCACGAACCATGAGATCGTGACCTGAGCTGAAGTCAGATGCTTAACTGACTGAGCCACTCAGGCGCCCCTACTCCATGATGTTTTAAAGGGCAAGCTCACATAAGCAATCTAGGCATCCCTTGAGCAACAGAATGCCAACACACAGAACCAAGGTAATAGCTCCATCAACTTGGACAAACTGCCTGAATTCTGACCCTATTTTGTTCACTTCCCAGCTTCAGTGAGCCTGGTGGTTGTTCTACGGTGACTGATGACGTAAAGGAAATGAAATGTGGCTGAGTAGAAAGAAGACGAGCTGTGAAGTCTACCCACCTCCGGGCATTTGCATTCACTGTCCTAATAACCCTATACAAATTCCTGAGGCTCCAGAGGGTCAGAGCTCCCATCTATAAGACGGGGTCGGGGGCGCCTGGGTGGCGCAGTCGGTTAAGCGTCCGACTTCAGCCAGGTCACGATCTCACGGTCCGTGAGTTCGAGCCCCGCGTCGGGCTCTGGGCTGATGGCTCAGAGCCTGGAGCCTGTTTCCGATTCTGGGTCTCCCTCTCTCTCTGCCCCTCCCCCGTTCATGCTCTGTCTCTCTCTGTCCCAAAAATAAATAAACGTTGAAAAAAAAAATAAATAAAAAATAAAAAAAATTAAAAAAAAAATATAAGACGGGGTCGTACTGCTATCATGCACAGGCTGTGAGGGGTATCAGGGACATCGTGTCTGTCCACTGTGCACATGGCACGTGTAAATTAACTGCTTCGGGAATGGTGCTCTCTGTGGCTGCTACTATCATTATCAATCATCGTCACCATCGGTAAATGAAAGCAGGCAAGCCTCAAGAAATCTTTTTCATCAGCACTCCTGGCATGCCTATGAACCACAGAATTAGAGGATAGAGGTTACCTGGAGATAAATGAAAAAAAGCAGGCAAGAGTAGAAGCTGGAAGGCCCGTAAGTAACATAAAAACCTAAAAGATGTAAGAAGAAAAATCATCACAAAATAGTCCCTCCGCTCAGATGTGCTTTAGTCTTACAGGTGTTTATGGGTCACTGGAACATCGCTCTGACGCTGTCCTAGGGGATCTATGATGTAGGCTTAAGCTAACCTTAAAATGAGGTAATCTGGGTACTTAACAGACCGTCTGTAAAGGGCCCAAGGCAGTTCTGCATTATACTGAATTCCAAATGGACACAGTGTTGTGTAAGGGTATGTCACTGCATTTTGGGTGGCTAGGAATGAGTCTGCATATAATAAATGAGGTAATATATATAAACAGTGACATGCTACGTAATAGTTATTTTCTTTGGAAAAGAAGCCCTTTTATAAGCCTGGGTGGAGAAAGGGAGGGACAAGCTTTGCAGTTGCTTAACAGGCCAGCCATGATTTATTAACTTTCACTAAAAGCAGTCCTGACATTAGAGGGTATAATTTCATGATCATACTTCATTCAAATTACAACAGTCACTCAAATTAGTAACATTCAAATTAGAAATGGTCCACATTAAATGCATAAACATCCTATAATCAATTTTGCCAAAACAAGAAAGAGTTTTGGTGTTTTTTCCCCCCCAGAGGACACAGACTACCTGAGTGAGCTACCATGCATTTATCCAATGGAGTAACTATATTACTACAATATTACTACTCAAGAAATGGGGTGTCCAGCATAAGGCAGAGCTGAGAGAGGCGGGTAACCTGGAAGATACAGTTCCTACCTAAGAGGCCAGAATAACCAGTTTTAGAAGCACTGAACTCAGGGGCGCCTGGGTGGCTCAGTCGGTTAAGCCTCTGACTCTCGATTTCAGCTCAGGTCATGATCTCACGGTTTGTGAGAGCGAGCCCCACATCGGGCTCTATGCTGACATTGCGAAGCCTGCTTGGGATTCTCTCTCTCCCTCTCTCTGCCCCTCCCCTGCTCGCGTGCATGCTCTCCAGGGCGCGCTCTCTCTCAAAATAAATAAATAAACATTTTTTTTTTAAGTGCTGAATTCAGTTATCTGGTGGGAAGGAAAATCCATTTACGAGATCCCTAACCCCACACCATTTTGTGAAGCTATGCCCAAAGTCACCTTCACTATTCCCACCCTGCCACCCCCACCCCATTCTTCCTCTAGCTATATCCCTGCCCTGGAGTATTCAACGGAGGAGAGAGACCCTGTCTCAAAGTTCTTAGCCTGCTCTATTTAAGTTCACGATGCAGCACGAGTTTATTCTGCCGTATCTTACGCAGTGCCTCTCAGGAAATAGCATCAGAAACTAACCTCTCACTTAAACCAACAAGTGCATCAATCAACTTCCTGTGTATTAGCCAAGGGACCATTAATCCCCTCAGGCCCAGCTGAGACCACACCAGGCTGGTTCATAATTGACTTGCCATCAACTCCAGCTGAATTCTGAAAGCTGAGCTTCCCTGCTAACCACTGCCCCATGATTTAGGAGAATGTGGTAGATGATTCCAAACAGAAACCACCTCCTCCGTGGCCAGAAAGATCCCATCATATTGCCCGAGTACATACCCCCAAACAGTTTTGTTTAATCTCTGAAGCTCCAAACATTAGCCAGGTCTGGCGAACCCTCACGATACCTCTGGGTGAGCTATTAATCCCATTTTATTTCTCTAGTTTTCTTTAGAAAATGGGTCTGGTTACCTTGAATTCTGCAGTGAGCTCACTGCAGTGAAGGAAAAAGAAGACAGACGAACCGGTGCCCAGGGAGAGGAACCCCATCTGTGAATCAATGACTAAAAATGCACTACTAAGAAACAGTGTAAGGAAAGACGCACTAACATGACATTTTCATAAGAGTAGTTTCCTGGTCTATTTGCTTTGGAGTTTCTCATTTTAACACAGGAAGCATAAATGTATGCGCGCACTCAAAAATATGCTAGTTTCTTAAGCGGCAGATTTGTGTGTGAATATTTTAGTGCCAAAGTAAGATCCAAGCACCAGGAAAAAGATTCTAGTGAATAAAGGCCTTTAAAAATAGTCTGGGGGTGTTCTGATTTGTTTGTTCATTTATTTGCAGAGATAGTGGAATCCCCCACGTTAGCTGTGACTAGGGAAGATTCTTTTTGAGGATTTTGCTTTTCCAGTTTTGTGACCAAAGACGCATCTTTCATGCTATCTGAAAGGGTTACAGATGCAGTCTTGGCAATGGCCAGGGATTAAATCCATGATCTTATGTCAAGCGTTTTGGAGAGTTAATCATCCAGAAGCAAACGTTTAAAATATCTTGCATTACTCTGTAATTGGTTGCCTGTCATACCCAGTGCTTCAGTTGTAAATTAAGAAACAGAGAGTTGGTGTAGCTCCACATAAAATATACAGGAATTACATACAGGCATTAAAACTTTCACTGAGGCATGGAAAATACTTCAAAAGATGACTATAAGCAGGCTCTGAAACGGCACTTCACGCTATTACATTCCAATGGCTTTGGAAAATAAACCACTATACATCAGTCGGATGACTGTAAAAAAACAACTTGTGTGCAATCAACCTCTACTCTGGGTAGGTCTGGGATTTCTGGAACTGACACGTCTATAATTAACAACTGCACCCCCTTCATTTTCCTAGCCGATCTTTCACAAAAGTAGAGGAAAAGACACTGCAGAGTCACATCGACCCAAGAAGTAAACCTCATAACCAAGAAAAAAAAAAAAAAATCACTCTTCTGAGGCTGTACA